AAGTTAATACCTGCCCAAGATAGGGTCTGTTCCTTTGCCAGTTTCTGGCTTTTAAAACCATTAAGATATAATTTTATAAGTTTATTTTCCTAGAATTAAGCCAAAGATAGGTTAAAATTGGCATACGAAAAACTCAAAACTTTCTGATTTTGCAAATCACAGCCGGACACTCACTGAATTTTGCATCTACCTGAGATGCCAAGCTTTCCGTTTGTATGTGCAGTGCAGGGCACCTCCAGCGCATCCTGTCTTGGAGCCTTGAATGAAACCTCAGAGGAGAATGCATCGTCACTTTTGCTGGAGATGGCACATTGTTCAGGAGATGACAATATGTTGAAAAGAAGAAACTTCAAAAAACTTCTATTCTATGTCACATTTTCTCAGTAACTGAATAGAACTTCTAAGAATGTCATCTAAAGCCTATACTCAGTGAACAAGACAGGGAATGAGGGACTCTGGTGTGTAAATGAGCTCATCTATGCACAGTGAATGAAGGCTAACATGCTCAAGCAAGACAAGATCCCTGAAGCTCACACATACTGAGTCCAGCACATGGTGGCTTTTACCCATGAATTGCAACTCAGAGATGGGCACAGTTTGGCATGGCTTAAAATGGTAACTCTATGGAAGACTTAATTTTAATCAACCACACAAAAGTTCTTTTGGGGTCGTATAGTATTACCAAAACAACAAGAACCGAAAACAATGTGTTTGATAATTATAAGAAAAAAGGAAGAAGAAAAATCCCAATTTTAGAAGGATGTCTTGAAAATTCTCAATGGAATGCTACTAATTTGCAATTTATGTATATACATAGATGCACATGAGAGGAAGGTGGTGTGGAGAATTAACTCTCAGCATGAATTAAGAAGTCTGTCAAGTATTCATGTAAGCCTGTACAGTAGCCATTCATTTATCAAAGAAAATAACAATTTAAATTAAAAATAAGAAGATCCCTGGGGCTCTATGGTTCAGAACTCAGCTGCTCTTGTAGACAACCTGAGTTCAGTTCCCAGTATGTACTCTGGGCAGCTTAGTCTATAACTCTAACTTCAGAGAATTTGACATCCCTTCTGTTCTCCTGGCACCTGCACTCACAGTCATTTACACAGACAGACATACACATACACATCTGTTTTGGAAAGCTTTTTCATGGACTGATCATGGCTTAACTCCTTTTGTTTGGGAGAGAATGGAAGAAAATTTATTTAATAAAATGCACTGGTAGAAATTGTTTTCTCTCCAACCCATATGCTGATAGAAAGTTACCCAAACCATAAAAATCTTGACCTAACAGAAAGATGTTGCATTTAATGGGAAAGGAAACTTTTGTTTTACTGTGTTCATCCAGAGTGCAGCACAGGATCTAGTATCTGCTGGACATGCAAGTGAGTTTTATCAATAAAATCCAGATAGAAGTCACAGAAGTGAATAATTAAGGAATGGCTACAGAAAATGACATAATACACAATTTCAAGGCCTATAGTTGATATTAATAAAATATATGCTAAGAGTTTTTACTGTAAGTGACTTTCTTACTTACTATGATGATTCATTCGTGATTTATCTGTGATCATTGTTTGTACATTTTAAAATGTACTGTGGATTAAATAAAAGAAGCTTGTCTTAACCCTAATTAGAAATAATTGCTACATAGCCTGTGTTATCATTCAATAATCTAAAGTATTTTAGGTTTCCCATTATTTAAAAATATCTTTAGCATGTACTCTTTCTGCCTTCATGTTTGAATAGACAGACTGATTTACAGATTTGGAAATTTACACAGAGCTTTGTGAAATAAGAAGCTTGTTTTTCTTAAAGTTGAAAAACTTATTTATCTAATTAACTGCAGGATTAATTTACTATGGGTCAAAATAAATTAACTTAAATAACCTTAAAAGTTTAGTGTATTGTTACTTTTAAGAATATATTACTTAAACTGGGCAATAGTGGTGCATGCCTTTAATCTTACACTCCCGGGGACTGGGGTTCATGGAGGAAGCAGGGTAGATCTCAGTTTGAGGCCAACCTGGTCTACAGAAGGAGTTCCAGGATGATACATAGAGAAACCCTGTCTCAGAAAAAAAAATTACTTAAAGTATTGTTAAATTATTTAAAAGAACATTTAGTTTAGTGTTATTATTTTTTGCAGCTAGAAAGGGAGTTCAGTTTTTTTAATGCCTAAATCCAGTGTTAAAATAAGTGGTATCTTTCACTGTGGCTAAGGGTTGGGGCCATTCTTGCCACAAAAAGTTGCCAGTGTAAAGTCGAATGAAAAGTGAGTACTCTCATTCAGTTGTTCATTTCCAGGGTGATTTGAGAACAGCTTCTTTCATATGAGTGTTTTCTGAGTAGAGCTTTCATCACTTCCATTTTCAGTTCCACACTTGCAGCCTGGATGTTCTGAGCAATAGGTAGTTCACTTCTGTACCATCGTCCAGTTCGAGATGCTGCACAGCCTTCCTAGACTCTAATGAAGTTCATGTTTATTCCCAAGAACTTCAAAGAACTATTTTCCTGACCCTGCATCTAAATAAATGCCATTTGTGAAATTAATATGGACTGGGGGTGAGATGATAATCTGTTTTTGTTGTTGTTGTTGTTGTTGTTGTTGTTGTTGTTGTGTCTTCTATGTGGATTAGGGAATCTCTGCCTAAGATTCCTGATTTATTTTTAAAATCACAAAATGACCACTTCAAAAGTCCATCATTTCTTTCAGCTATCTTGAAGCCCATATATTTGTGCAACTAATATGCGCCAATGAACAAAATCTTTAAAAGTATATGGAATGGTCTATTTGATTCTCCCGCTGGGGCACTGTGTCTCACTACCTAGCTACATACACCATCTGCAACACTAGAAAGCATCTTTATATTTGTGGTGGTATATGGTTTAAGTCTTCTCAATTTTCTTTCCCAAGCCAATATACATATACAAATGTTGCATTGTCATTGCACACAATGGTCAGAACTGACCTGTCAACAATAAGATTGTTGTTGCAGTGGCTCCATTTGAAAAGTCATTTTTCTCAGCAGCTGCTTCTGACTTCAGCGTGGAAATGCTATTTCCAAGCACATCCATGAATTATGTAGAGCTCCCGGTAGAGGATTCCTTCGCTCCTGCTTTTCAAAACACTGATTTTAAACCATTGTCCTTAGGAAAAGAAAGCATATTATGCCCCATATATCTGCATAGAGTTCTCCAGAAATGCCTCAGTTTCACAGTGTTTTTCATTAAAGATCTTATTGTTCAATGAAGGTTCCTAGTTGTTTAGGGTTTTGTTATGATCTCTCCCTCTCTCTGTCTCTCATTTATTATTCTTAGTTATTTGTGTGTGTGTGTGTGTGTGTGTGTGTGTGTGTGTGTGTGTGTGTGTGTTTCAGTGTTGGAAATTAGGTAAAGAACCAGAACTTTACATACAAGAGCAATGGCATCCCCAAGCTCCGTTAGGGGTTTATTAAAATAAACCATTGTAAAATGGAAACAGTAAAGAATAATTTTGGCCTTATGGGAATTATATATAGAATGAAAACAAAAGTCTTCAGATTATTTCTAAGCAAGAATCATGAGGGGTGAATCAGCTCTCCAAAATGTTGTCAGTTCTGCTCTTCAAACAGATAAGTGTTATTACAGTGCCACTTTCAAAACAGCTCATCATTTTGTTTACAAAGATAATTTTCATTGAATTTATAAAAAGATATTCATTATTTATTCTGCAAAGAAAGGGGTGTAAAAAGTCACTAACCATTCAAGGCGAAATAAATAATTTAATCAACTATCAACTATTTCCAGTAAGAAATTCCACAGATTCTCCTCTGCAGACATGTTCTTTCAGGACTGGGGAAGGAGGCGTCACCTGGTAGAATGACACACAGGAAGCATGATAGGCTTCAGCTTGCTTTTCCTGCCCTTTCTTGCTTTTACTCCCTGTGATTTGCTTTATGTCCCTCTGAAAATTTGACATTTGTACTGTTCCAATCAAAGGAGGCCTCTAGGAACAATCTGGTTTTTCAGTTGGACTTGTTGCAGATAGTTCCACCCTATAGAGATACAGCCCACTTTTCAGAATAAAATCTGGCAATGTTTAGTTGTGAGCTTCAATTGCACGTTCCCAAACTGCAAGGCACTGTGATGGAGTTTTATAGTGTCTAGTGGAAAAACAAGTAAGATAATCCTTTCTAAACCAGGTTTCTTATGTTAAAAAGGTGAGTTTTAAAAAGTAAACTCGGGGTTATGAAAGAGTCATCAAACACAAAGCCATGACTCCTGGATACAAACTGTCTCAATTAAGACAAATAGTTTATAATTTGTTTCTATTCTAAACATTTAATTATTTTAACATACTTGAAGAATTTAATCTTTCTCTTCTGATTGTTCTTTCATTCCTTAGTAAATATTGTTAACTGGCAGCAGATCTGTGAGAATGCAGAGTTATTATCTAAGAAAGTCAATTCAGTCATCATCTTGAAGCATTGAAATAAAATGTAAGCTCATGTGTTTGCAGATTCTGTCTAAGAAAGCCCACTTTTAAAATATATCTTTTATGGTTCAGCTACAATGATTGCCTCATTATATATTAATAATACTATACCAGCTTTCCTAATAATGAAAATTAACAATATGTAGTAATATAAAACATTTTACAGCCTTATCAAAATAGAATATATATGAATTGCATTTTAACTTGTCACTATCAATATTTTAGTTTGAGTTTCAATTTTTTGTTTGTTTGTTCATTTGGAGTTTTCTAGACAGGGTTTCACTGTATAGTCCTGGCTGTCCTGGAACTCACTTTATAGAAGAGGCTGCCCTTAATTGAGTTTCAATTTTTATGTCTTAACAAGTTTTAAGAAATTCTGTGTAATATCTTGAAAATGAATTTTTGAAAGCATTCAGACATTTTACAAATGGGTTTAAAATAACACTAATGATGCTCTTTTTAAATTTTTGTTTATGTTTACATGTGTTTATCTGTGCATGTGTATGCAATGTATGTGTAGATGCCCAAGAAGCCCTGATGGCCAGAAGGTGTCCTGAAGCTGGATCTACAGGCAGCTATGACCTGGAAACCAAATTCAGATCCTCTAGAAGCGCAGCAAGCTCCTTCCCCTGCAGAGCCACCACTGCAGCCCCCTTAACCACGTCTGTTCTCATTCAACACCATCACTAACATTCAAAGAAATCTATTCATTTGTCATTTCTTTCCATTGCTGAATGAGACAATGTAATAATAATTTTAGAGAAACAAGATAAAAGTCTATATTATTATTATTATTATTATTATTATTATTATTATTTATTTGTTCTTGTTCCTAGATGAGTGAAACAGGAAGTAAAATTTGTTTTTCTGAACTAGTTTGAAATCTTTCTTCAAGGGCTAGCTGACCCATATATTTCATGTGTTTGAGTTTTATCTGTTCATTCGGCATGGTTGGCAGTAGTGAGGGGATATGGTAGTGACTTCCTACAATTCAAAATCATTTTTAAATGTACTTATCCCAAAATTGCCAGTGATAAAATAAAAAATAACAGGCAAATATATATCAGCAAAATTTAGAGCCTTATGTGATCTTTGGAACAAAACACTATTTCTCCCAAAATGCTTTTACAAATAAGACAGAACACATGTTGAGTAAAACACAGCTTCCACAAAGATAGCATTATCACACAGGCAATGGTGATTCAATGGGTATTATTCACTTCCTTTTCTACTTAGCTGTGAATATTTCTAATGCCAAATAATAGTTCATTTATTTAGACTTAATCTTTTAAACATGAATATGTACATTTAGTGAAGAAATTGTTTGAGTGATATTATATGACTCATGACTAACACTGTATGCTTTTGTTTTTTAAAGGAAAAAAACAGTTGTGTGCACTGTTGGTCTGTATTTATAGAGCATTTTTATTGTGGAGTTTGCATGTAGAGCTTCAGGAATGCTGGAGAACAATAATGAGCAGTGTGGAGCAGTATTGTTAGTGGAGTCTTTTCTATTGAATTTTTAAGATGCTGTAAAATGAGATATGTGAGCAGCTCCTCTGGACACCTTTTCCCATCATTGTGTTAATATCAATCGCTCACTTCCACCATTTCTCTTGGTATTAAATAGAAACCCTGGTTCCCACTGCCTTGATTGGAGGGCTTATAATGCATAACAGGGTTGATAACCTTAATGAGATTAAGCATTGTGATTTTATGACGGCTAACCCAAACCTGCAGCCTCTGAGACTGTCTCTAAGACAAACCTGCAAAGGTACAAGAAGGCGCCTTACATCCTTTTCTTCTTTTGGCTCTGAGCTTTTCTCCCTAGTGAAGGCCACGCTGGAGATATAGTGAGAAAATGATGGGTGCCTTCATGCTAGAGCAGTGGCATAGACTCTTGCCCTGGCAGAACTAACCTTTGCCAGATGGCAAAGCTAGTGCTTTCTGTGCAAAGCATGGCTCATGATCACTTACCACATGCACTGAATGCCAGGACAGGCTGGATCTGCTGGGAACTGGCAGGGCTCAGTGTGGCTGGAAATGGAGATCTGTAGAAATGGGTGTTGTATGTCAGGCTCTTCTGCTGGAGTTATCTAGAGCTGCTGTAAAAAACTTCTCAGTTCTGCATCTTCATTTCCCACAAAAAGAAAGAAGAAAATCAAGTGTCATAATAAATCATTAGAGCTCCTGTCCAAGAATCATGAGAATCAGATATTAAACTCTCCTTTCATCTGTATATGAGGGTGCTAGAGCAGTTCTTGGCCAGAAGTTTTAATGTTAAATCACTGCGAGTTTTAATGTTTTGCTACATTCTTATCCTCACTGGTCATTAACAGTCACCTATCACCAGATGAGCAGAAATGGCAAGTTCTGTACTCTCTACTCCCTATAGTAATTCTAGATGAATGACAGCCACAGAGCATCCCTGGCAAATGTCCTCCCAGCATAGAGAAGCACCTACAAACTAATATTTCCCAGAGCCATTCATCTTGTATTTACTGTCATCCCTTATATTAGTCTCTCTGCAACCTAGATAACACATCAAATCTTCTCATTGGCTCAGAAACTCAGCCCCCACTCCACATACTGATGCATCTTACTGCTCTGCCATCTAACACTTAACATTTCATTTTAATATAAAGCTAATATCTTCTAGCTAAGCTATTATAAGCACATGAAAACTAACTTACAAGTAGCTGGAGGTAATCTAGTGTCATTACACATATTACTGTATATTTTCACTTCACTGGATGATAATATTTAATTTAGAAGAAAATGTCATATGTTATACTTTTTCTAAGAAATTGCTTATTCTGTAACATATAAAAACATACTTTCAAGAACTTCCTAGAAACGGCTTTAGCTGCAGCAGAGTTACATGGATAACAAGCAAGCTTATGGAGCTTTGTGCTTGTCAAATCATACTTGAAGAATGGCATTTAATCCACAGATAATTTATTTTAGAAAGAACACCAAATCTTAAAAGACTCAGATGAGTGTGACAGAACACATAGGACGTCTGAAAAATGCAAGTAATATTTAATATAATATTGTGTGGACAAGACAAAATTTGAAAAGCAGCATTTTCTGCCATTTCATGGCTAGAGGTACTGCAGAATTAGGATTATTCAGCATGGTTCTGAAGCTCCAATAACACATAGTTTCACAAAGTTCCGTTCAGTGTACATCAGAAAAGTGTATTCACCAGACTGCTTAAATGAAGTGTCTTTGTAAGAGTATCTAAGGCAGACACTAAGTAGGTCCACTAAGCACCAACCTCACTCAGTCTCATTTGGAAGGAGGGAAGATCAGGAAGAAAAGCTTTATTCCGTGACCAAATAATGCAGTAAAGTGAGCATGGCTCCCAGATAAGCTTTTTGTCTAGTCTAGAATATAAGATAGTGTGTATGTAAGAAACACAAAAGAAATGTGTAGAAATCAACTGCACTTACTGGACACAATGTAAAGAAAATGTGGTCCCACATCTCCTCTCCCCCCTTTCTTCCCAGAAAGGGTACTCTTTCCTCCCTCCTTATCATGACATCTGGTACCTACACATCTTTAAAGAAGACATTCTCCTTGGGATTTCAGGTGTCTGTGCATGCAGGTTGTCTTGCATGCAGCTCTATCCTGCATAGCAGCAGTTCTGTTATCCAACTCTCTAATTCCTTAGTAATCCAAGACCCAACAGCATCTCTTGTCTATTTCTCAAACCTATACTATAGATTTCCCCAGAAGAATTTCCTCTTATTTTATTTTTGTGCTCTTATTTTATGTGCTCAACATTAGTTCTAATAAATACCAATATTCTGAGAACTCTCAGACAACCCTGGGATAAGAAGCAGATTATCTTACGAGTATGGGGACATCCACAAGGAGCTCTACAGGGTAAGAGCTGGCAACTTCCTTCTAGAAACAGACCAGGACAGAATCACCATGCTTCCACACTTTTTGTAAAGACATGGCCTGGGAAGATGATCCACAAACCCCTTTAGATTCAAATCCTAAAGACTTCAATAAATAGATTGGAATTCTCACCAGTTCTGTGATCACACAAAGCAGGTGACTGCCTATGCCACATCTCACCCAGCTGAGGGTTTTATGCCTTGCTGTATGTGCCCTCCATTGCTCCCAATTGCATTAACCCAAGTGCAGAAGGGATTCTTGACTCTGCCCTCCCCTTTATATGCCAAAGTCAACTCTTCAGTAAGTTTTGGAATTCTGTCTTTTATACCCCCTGTTGCTCAGACTCCATTATCTCAACAAATACCACAATAGCCTCAGCTCACCCTGGCTGCTCACAAGAATTTCAATAGGCTTCTAAATGATCCCTGGTCCTTCTCACTGAAGTCAGAAAGCTTATGCACTTCTTCAGTCGCTTCTGACCCTATCCTTTCTTTTATAAAGGGATACTTAGTTATTTCCAAGTTTAAAGTCAGGTCCATATAGCTTGGGTCTTGTCAGTCTCCAGCTTTGAAATATCCTCTGTTGTTTGTTGTTATCAGCGTCATTGCCTCACAGTTGACTTTCAGAACTAAACTATACTAAGTTTTTTCATGTACTTGGGACCTTTGAAGGTCACCAAGGACACCTTGCTCTGCTGTCCTCCAGCTGGAGAACAGAATTTCACCATTCATTCTTCAGGTTCAGCTGTATTTCCTCCACAGGTCACTTCTCTTGACTGACTGCTCCAGAAACACCTTCACTGTTTTTTTTTTTTTTTTTTT